GTGTGTTATTATTCTTCTTCCATGCTGGTAGTATTTTGTCCTTGGTTTCCCAAAAGAGTAATATGATGGAAAAAACGAACAATATTATTATGATTATTATTATTGACAGCTTGGACGCAATAGACAACAAAAACAAAGAAAAAAAACCATCCACAACGCATGAATTTAAATGACAAAGTGAGAAATGAGTGAGTTTAATAGCAGACGTCAAAAGGCTATTGGTGCTGTGGAGAAATGACAGCAATAAGGGGGTCACGAGCGTCTATATATGTTTTTATCCCTCCTACTTCACCTGTGGAGGCTGGGGGAGAAGGGAGGAATTGGAGGGAAGAAGTGAGACAAAGATGAATGTTGTTTTTTTTTCTCCCTTTCCGTGTTTTTCGTTATTGGTGTATTCAACTGTAAAACGAGTATGAAGGATGACGATGATTATGGTGTTACTGCGATAGTTGTTGTTGTTTCCGCCTTCTCTCCATTCCTTTGAGTTTGCGGTGGAAACCTTTGTTCTTGTTCCGCTGATTGCGTTGAATTGGGGAAGGGGGCGTATGTCGAATTGGGCGTGTTATTTGTGATATTTAACTTTTGCATCGATCGTGTGGCTTCCGCTCTCGGGATGAGGGACACTTGGGAGGGGGCGTGGCGTAGGAAACCCTTTAGAATTCGAATTCTCTCTTACTAGACACACACACATGGTGATCTGCCAGGTTGTTGAAGAGAACTACGGAATACACATTAGTACTGCGTGTGTCACGTTTTCTTTTCTTTTTTTCCCTGTTTCGTGGTTTAGGTTTCCTGCCTTCTCATGCGCTCGGTTATTTGCTGTTTTTTTTTTTTGTGTGTGTGTTATTGAAGGGGTTCGCGGCGCATGGTGTCGGCAGGGCAGTCCCAAGCATCAATATTTTAAAGGTGTGTATGAACATGCGAGTTTGTGTGTATTTGTGGTTTGTTCGTTTTTTTTTTTTTAGTTGTTGGTTGTGTTTTTTTCCACACGCTCAATTTTTGTTGGTAGCGGTGACCGCATTTACTTTGGCTTCTTCCTTCCCTTCCCTCCCCCTTTATCTGTGCATGTATGGATACGGAGAGTGCGCGGCATTGGCACAAGGCACTCTGGAGAAACAGTGACCTTCCCTTCCCTTCCCTT